AAGTGCTCCATCAAGGTCTCAACTACAAACATGTCAATCCAAGTACTATTGCAAACTAGAGGGTATAGTATAAACCCTCATTAAAAAGAAAGGTTACACCATTGTGAAATGGCTACGTACTGGTACAGTCAGTGCTGATAGTGGAACAGCAGCTTCTGCAGCTAGACACCCTCAGTTTTCCAGGACAACATGCAGCCCATCCATTTCCCCCCCTCCCCCCAATACCAATTATTGCAAACATGTTCAGGTATTGCAGCTGGTTGGGTTGCTGGCTAAAGATCAACAGAAGGCCACAGCAAGAAGATACTGCAGAGGCATTAGGACTCCAAGCTAAAAAGCATATCAATTCAAGACTGCATCTTGGGGGTTCAAGAGAATCCAATTCCCAGAGCCTAGTGTAACAAGTTATTCCACTGCCACTTGCATTTAAAAAAAAAAAAGGCAAGTCACATCTAGCATTAACTTTGTGTTCTCTGGTTTAAGTTCCAGAGCTTACCTCTCATCATCATCTGGTCCACCATGTTTTTTGCTGTAAGGATTGAAGTGAGCACCTGCACTGATGCATCCTGTAACAGATGATTTTGCATTAACTCTAATGCTAAAGACCATGTAATCCATCTGCAAAAATGAGAGACTTAACTCTGTATAGTGTGTTCTGCTGGAACAACTTGTATTACTCAAGTTGTTAATAAGCTACAGCACTTTTGAGCACCCAAGAAGTCTCTAAAGTGATTACCGTGATCTGTACCAGGAGCCTGCTCACTGGAGAACTCCTTGCTCATGACCTGAAGAGCTGTCTGACCATACTGGCACAGCTTTACAAGAACTCATGGTGCTCTGGTGCAGTGCCAGAGGACTAGAAAAGGGCCAGTGTGGTTTCTATTTTCAAAAAAAGGGAGGAAGGAGGACCCAGGAAGCTATAGGCCAGTTAGTCTTACCTCCATCCTGCGTAAGACTTTTGAGAGACTTATCCTGGTGCATGTCCACAAGGGGCCAGCAGGGGAGATTATGCTTAGGGGCAACCAACAAGGGTTCATCAGAGATAGGTCCTGTCAGACCAACCTGGTGGCCTTCTACAACCAGATCACAAAATCCTTAGATGCAGGCAACACAGTCCTTCTGGACTTTAGGAAGGCCTTCAGCACGGTCTCTCACCCCATTCTCATTAATGAAATGAGGTGTCGACACCACAGTCCCCTACACAGTCAAATGGGTTGCTAACTGGCTGGAGGGCCGCACCTAGAGTGGTGGTGGACAGGTCATTTTCGACCTGGAGGGATGTGGGCAGTGGGGTCCCCCAGGGCTCGGTCCTCAGGCCCGCACTGTTCAACATCTTCATCAGTGACTTGGACGAGGGGCTAAAAAGCACCCTGTTCAAATCTGCAGATGACACTAAGATGTGAGGGGGAAGTGGGCATGCTAGAAGGGAGGAACAGGCTACAAATCAGACCTAGATAGGTTACAGGGGTGGGCAGATGAGAGCAGGATGGGATTCAACACTGCAAGGTACTGCAGCTGCACCCGGGGTGGGGGGTGGGGGAAAAACCAGCACCATACCTACAGGCTGGGGAACTCCCTTCTCATCAGTGCAGAGGCAGAAGAGGATCTTGGAGTCATCACTGATGCCAAGCTGAACATGGGCCGGCAGTGTGGGGATGCAGTCAGGAAGGCCAACTGTACCTTGTCATGCATCCACAGATGCACGTCAAGCAGGTCCAAGGAGCTGATCCTCCCCCTCTATGCGGCACTGGTCAGGCCACAGTTGGAGTACTGCGTCCAGTTCTGGGCGCCACACTTCAAGAGGGATGTGGACAACATGGAGAGGGTCCAGAGGCGGGCCACTCACATGATCAGGGGGCAGCAGGGCAGGCCCTACAAGGAGAGGCTACAGGACCTGAACCTGTTCAGCCTCC